TCTAATTTCTATAATTCTATCATCTATCCATCCACCTATCTATCTGCCTATCCATCCATCCATCTAAAAACAAGAATTTCAAGATAAAAGCTAATAATCTATATATATCTATCTATCATCCATGTCTTACTATACATACATCTATTTGTCTGCCTGTCTATATGTGTATGCACCCATACATCCATCAATAAAAACAAGCATTTCAAGGTAAAAGCTAATAATCTATATATATTTATCATCCATCCACTGATGGATTTAAAGTCATTTGAATTCTACTTCTATAAATTCCATTTATTTATTTATTTGGAATTTAAAAGTCATTTTCAATGCAATTCTGAATGTTGCACATCCCTGGTATTCAGGCAACAATTTGACCTTGGCTACATCTTCACTGTCACGGCTAGTGTGAAGCAACAGTATCCTTCACTGTCAAATTCAAGGCAAGTTCAGCGCAATCAAATGGAACTTGGCCAAATGCTACGTCAAAGTATGAAAATATGTGTTCATTATGTTAGAATAAGAACATCATTTAAAACACTTTTAATAAGCAAAACATTTACTACAACATCACAGGCCACAACAATCAAAGCCATTCTCGTCTTTGTTTTACAACTTTCTTGGGGCAAAAAGCACTTTTGCCCCTTTCACTAAATAGGCTGTTTATAATTCGAAGCATACACTTTTCCTGGTCATATATCGTCTAGCTGTACTGTTGCTGTGTTTTCTTTCCACTGTAGGGTTATATAATGTGAGGGCCTCTGGGTTTGGCTGAGGTCCAGTCCCACACAGGCCTCTCTGTGCTGCTTTTTCCTGGATCCCTCCAGCTGCCTTTATCACCCCAGCAGCTGACTCCGTCACATGCCTCTCTGTTCCTAATGAGGGCTTTTTGGGCAAGAATTGTGCCGCTTTCTTGTTTTTACTTTTTAAAAAGTCTCTCGTTCTCTCTTTCCAACTGCCCCCAAGCCATTTGTTATCCTTGTTTTGGCTGCAGAACAGGGCAAGTGGCAAAAAGCACTTTTGCCCCTTTCACTAAATAGGCTGTTTATAATTCAAAGCATACACTTTTCCTGGTCATATATCGTCTAGCTGTACTGTTGCTGTGTTTTCTTTCCACTGTAGGGTTATATAATGTGAGTGAGGGCCTCTGGGTTTGGCTGAGGTCCAGTCCCACACAGGCCTCTCTGTGCTGCTTTTTCCTGGATCCCTCCAGCTGCCTTTATCACCCCAGCACCTGACTCCGTCACATGCCTCTCTGTTCCTAATGAGGGCTTTTTGGGCAAGAATTGTGCAGCTTTCTTGTTTTTACTTTTTAAAAAGTCTCTCGTTCTCTCTTTCCAACTGCCCCCAAGCCATTTGTTATCCTTGTTTTGGCTGCAGAACAGGGCAAGTCCAGCTGACACACACCTGCTTAGTGGCTGTGAACAGGGCAGCTTTAGAAACAGCGAAACAACGTCTTTCTAAGTGGGCCAAATCTCTTTCCCAGTAGAAACAGAGGACTTTTTGATGCATAAGGAACAGCAGCTTTTTATCAGCTGAGCTCCATTTATCAGTCCAACTGCCATAAGCCCCAGTAAAGAGTGTTTATCAGATTGCTGACAGCCTGTGTAAAAATTCAAATCTGAAATGTGTTACTCCCCAGTTTTGCAAATCCTTGATTCCGTTCCGTTCATCATGGCCTAAAACACTTAATGTAAAACCCAAGCATGTGGAACGAATTGGCAAAGTACATTAATTTGGCTCAGTCCCAGATGATAATAGGAAGCTACACCAATTTTATCCAGTGTGCTAATTAAAATGTGACTCGCACCAAGTGTTAAAATCTCTGAGGGAATCATTAGAATGGGGCTGAAATTAAACCAAAAACCTGTCCTTCTATCCATCAACATAGCACACAACCAACTTTTTTTCCCACAAGGCATCACTGAAAATGACCGTGAGGTTCAGTTTACCAATCTAAAGCTAAAATAGCTCACATCTCTGAAAACATCAAAGCAATTTTTCAAATAGGTGCTATCTTTATAAATAAACCTCCTCTGCCATGAGAAATGCTACAAGCGGATTATAATGTATAGATTATTATATAAAAACCTTTGCTTAAAAATAAATTGAGAGAGAAATCGACATTTCTAGGTATTTAAAACAATACAAAGAGAACTGGTTAAGTGCTCAAACACATCCCAAATGCTTTTATGTACAAAAATGTCTGTACATTTAATGACTTAAATATAAAGGAAAAAACACTGACAAAAATTCATTATTTTACCTGTGTGTGAGAATTTTGAAAGGTATTTTTAGTTGTCCAGAGAGACTATTGATGGTACACACATCAGAGAAGTATCAAACGCATTCATGCAGAAAAATGCTTGGTGGCAGACTCGAGCAGCGCTGAGACATTACAAGTGACTTTGATGACGTTAATACTCCATATCGCACTACAGTGGCACAGATACACTGACAGCCCAGCTATTTTAGGCAACACAAATAAAGAGCAGGTCAACTGCGGGTGTGTGGAGGGAACTGTCAGCTCGGAAAGACAATTGGGCTTGATGGAAGAGCTGGTCCCAGCTGGGTGTAGGAATACCGGGGAGATGGAGAGATAGGAAGAGATGGTGAGACTGGTAAGAGAAAAGAAAATGGAGATGGGGGAGGGGTCAGGGACAGGATCAGCAGGAAACAGCTGAGGCAGAAGGTACGGTGATCCATCACATCCTGACTAACTGGCTCAGGTGCTCCACATCCTCCCAGACATGTTAGATAAATGATGGGCTGAAGGGGCTTAGAAACTGGAGTTTTACGTCCCAGTGGATTCATACCACCTAGTGACCAGTCATTTTTTTGAATTTTCAGTTTTTTGGGGGCAACTGGGGAAATTTAAAGGGGGAACTATGTCGATGTGAAAGCGCTGGCTACTGCATTTTTATTTCGCTGATCTGCAAACAAATCTGAGGGCTAGAAGGGAGAAAATGACCTTGAGAACCTTGAACCAGTTTGCGTGCTTAAAGCAGGGCTAATAAATCCTTGCTGTTCTCATGGGGATGTAAGAGCCCATCTGACAACAGTCACCTCCTTGTGTCCTCTCCATAAGACCTTTTTTTTCTCTTTTCTGAAACACACAGCATTGGTTTTGAGGGTTTACACCGGTATCGATCCGTTTTCATCTTCCTCAGAGTCACTGCTGAATATAAACGACTGCATGACCTCTATGTTTAATGCATCTGTATTCTTTCAGCAAGCCTCAGGAGCAATTCACTCTACAGAAGAAAAAAGGCGAGCTTTCATTCTTCTTGAACATCACAGCATCCTACAGGGTGTTGGGGGTTTTATTAGGTACTGCACTCTTGTGTTGAAGATGATACAAAAATCAACCTGTGGTCAATGATCAAACATTAGCCTGAAGCTGGTATTGATCTCATTCAGGATCCTGGTGCTGCCTGGAGAGTCTTGTGATTCGTGAAACAGCTTGAAGGAAAATCCCAATCAGAAAGCCATTAACCTACCATGTACTTTATATGGAATCTATATTTAAATCTATACTCTGTGATCTACAAGTATTGAATGGCAATATGGCAAACAAAGGGATCAGATTAATCAGTTTTTAAATTCAAAACGTTTATTCTTCCTCCAAATTCACCTCCACACAACGTGCTTTTAATCAATTGTCAGACACTTTTATCAAAAGCATACAGCGAATCCAAGGTATTAATTTTATCAGTATCTGAATAGTATGTGATCTGAACCCAGCTTTATATATATATATATATATATATATATAATAAACAATGAAATAAAATTACAAAGTATTCCATTATCTCATTGTTTTATATTTATTATATATTTTGTTCTGTTTTAAATATTTTATTTCTTATAGAAATCTGAATATTTCACATATTACATATTAGTTTAAAATATTTTAGTATTAAAACAGTAACACACATTATTAAAGTATATTAAAATAATTTATAATATATACTCAATATTTCAGAATTACATCCTAAAAATAAAAAATAAAACAAAAGATTGAAATAAAACAAATGCACTTAAAATACATTTAGAAATGTAACAATATAATATAAATTCTACTCTGAATATACACTTCTTTCAAGTATAGAAAATTACTTTGAGTGAGAAAAACATTTATCTTCAATGCTCTTTGAAGACTGTTTATCCAAGCCTCAATCAGAAGAGTTTTCATTCAGTTTCTCTGAATGCCGTCAGACATCACTGAGCGAGGGGAGGAGGACAGTGATTGGTGCTGAGTCAGCACGAGCCGTCTGGTCACCCCAGAGAGTCAGTGTGCCTCAGACTGTCAGCACATTCTCACTGTCTCCACTCCACTACAGGTCTGTGAACAGAGAGAGATGTAAAAGCATCCCTCTGCGGCTATAACTTCAGTGACAAGTGCTTTAACAGGGGTTGAGGTGCTACGGTGTGACCATGTGAACTTTACAGGCTGCTGAAGTCCAAACAAGCACGCTAATGTAACACAACACTAGGCAAACAGCTATTGTAAATCATGAGGTCATTACATGCTCATCATTGGAGCTAATTCTGTAGTGATTTAGCCTTTACAGCCACATTCATCATTCTCTTGCAAATTATATACAAGTGACAGGTGCTTCATTCCTGACCCGACTCAACCTCAGTTTGGGGCAGCCAGGGTCAGAATAATCATGATTACTCCAAGATTGTTCAAGATTGACCCGCGCGACGGCTGTTGAGTCAGCACACTGGCACACATTAAGGATTAATTTCATGAGGGCTTATTAAAGCATTCGGGCCAAAGGGCCATAGCGATGAGGGAGTGCCTTCGAAAGGTCAAGATGACGTTCCTCCCATCCTTTTCATTCAGTGGACCAACATTTAGCAGGTCATCAGTCTGCATGTCAGATATAGAGCCCATTCTGATGTACCCACCAACTAATCAGATTTTCTGCTCGATTCTAATGTCTTTTCAATCAATCCGTGGTCTCTTTCTTCTCACATTATAACAAATAATTGTTAATTTTTAATATATTGTAAAATGGAATTTATTCCTTTGTGATGGCAGTGTTGAATTTTCTGCAGGCATTACTCCAATATTAAGCGTCACATGATCCTTCAGAAATAATTGATTAATGTTGAAAACAGCATTTTTTTTTTAAATAATAGCTGCTAAACTGTATTATTATTTCCTTGTTATACTCCGTCAATCACATGCTCTCTTCTCAGATAAAAACATAACAAAAAACAATATTTCATGTCCATTTATGTATTTATTTGACAAGTATCAGGGTAATAGTCAGACGATCAATGTAACAAAAAACAAATAAACCCCTTCAGGGGCTCAACCTGATCACCCTGTCAAGGTTTATTCAGTGATGACTAACTGACTATACATTACCTCTTACATATTTCATTAAAACAAAGTAATAGTCTTGGCGTTGGGATTATCTGTAATTTTACACACCCCCCCCCCCCCCCCCCCCCCCGTAGAGCGTAACATGAAAACTGAGCCGAGCGGTAGACGAGAACCTAGAGGTCAGGACTGTAATCATCTGACCTGATCAATAATTAACCAAGGTCACCTTTAATGACGGCGAAGCAATGTGGCATAAATTATTCATACAAATCGCTGTATGAAACAACAGTGGTGGAGAGACTGTGAAAGTGAGCCTAAGATGATGGATAAACAGAAAGACCAAAAGTAATTGAGAACCAGTAAACAGATCTCTCTCAAGAGACATCATTCATATACTCTTGTTGGTCACATCAAAGGAATGTTGTGTACACATGAAAACCTGAACAGATTTGGTCTGTGATGCAGCAAATTCCTCTGAAGTTCCCATTCGATGAATCACCACAGAGCTGGAACCGGTAACTGCAGTTCACTCAAATGCCACAAGAGGTTCAAAGAGACATTCATCTTAGAGGAATCGAAGTGAGCCAATCTCCACAGGAAGGTGTGCCGTGAGAGAGGACGGAGTGTAAATGCCGGCAGTTGAGTGCAGCAGGACCTCTCGCGCTGGAAGGCAAAAGAGAGAGAGTTTGAGCTAAACTGTACTCTTTGTTCATATCCCACGTGGCAGAAGGGGATTTCCTTGCTCTCCCTCACTCTGATGCACTTTCACTACACTAAACACACGGTGAACAGATAAATGATGCAATGTCAAGCAATCCAGAAGAATCAAGGTGCCAGAAAAAAAGTACATAGTCATGACTCTGCCGGCACCTTGCTAACCCTGTGATGAACCCTCATTCAGCCAAATCTTGGATTATGGATTGCAAACATTTCGCAATGTATTGCTTCAGTAATATGATAAGTGGGTTTTTGTGCAAAGACATCAAGTTTTGTGCATTTTCCTGCAATGCAATGCCAATCACATTTCACATCTTGTGCTAATTGTTTTTCTATTGCATTACTGTATATACAATGATGCTCAAAAGTTTGGGGTCAATAAGATTTTGAGAAATAAGTCTCTTATGTTCAACAAGCCTGCATTTATTTGAACAAAAATATAGCAAAGAACATTTTAAAATGTAATTTATTGCTGTGATGGTATAGCTGAATTTTCAGCATCGTTACGGCAATCTTCCATGTCACATGATCCTTCAGAAATCATTCTGACAAATAACGCATACAAAAACTTCAGTAATGGCCATCAACTGACTTACTACACTCCAATAAATGTGCTTGGTGTACTGTTCTCTAACTAAGCCTTTAGTGGGAACAAGTTGCAGAACTATATTTCACCATCTATTTGATAACATTCTGCAGAGGCTGATCTAGAGGGGCGATTTCAGAACACTTCAGGGACAGGAAGAGCTGAACAGAAGCTATAAATGCTTAAAGTCCCCCTGTAATATATTACAAATATTTTATCCCTTAAAGGGGTCATATGATGCTGCTAAAAAGAATATTATTTTGTGTATTTGGTGTAATGAAATGTGTTTATGCAGTTTAAAGTAAAAAAAAAACACATTATTTTCCACATACTGTACATTATTGTTTCTCCTCTATGCCCTGCCTTTTTGAAACGCGTCGATTTTTACAAAACTAATCGGTCTGAAAAAGCGGTGTGCTGTGATTGGCCAGCTATCCAGTGCATTGTGATTGGCCGAATACCTCAAGCGTGTGAGGAAATGTTACTCCCCTACCATACTGTGATGATGCCCTGTCTGGCCGGAGCTAGGAGACAAAAACATTAAAACCCATTACAAATGAGGCATTTGTTGCATCCAGTGGGGACATAATTACTGATTATAATGACTTATACTGTCTTTTTACGCGTTGCGTTGCATTGCATCGTGCCGCGTAAACATAAAACCATGTCTGCATTTGTGATCAGAGAAATTACAAACAACAAGTGCTACTCCACACTGTCCAAAACTCACGTTTGAATCATCAGTGGCAAATGATAAAAGAAAACGTACTTGCGTGAGTCAGAACTCCCGGCATTTTAGTCTAACGTTACTCTCCCAGGATCAGTAAACAGTCCTCCATAAAATGTGCCGGCGATCTACAGCACTAAGTTGATGTATTCCCTCAGTGACCAGCACAGATCAGCTCTAGGCATGACGAAGCGGATATCGTCCTCTTTTTGTTTGGCCTTCCAAAAGAGGACACAACTAGAAATCAGTGGTTAAGTTGTATTTACAACACTGTTCCAGAACAGTTCAAACCAAATATGTGTGTGTGTGCAATGCATGTTACGGAGGACGAGGACTTTCCCAGGTTCCCTGACAAATAATGCTGACTCACATTCTGTAAGTACGTTTTCATATTTAAAGGATTTGCTACTGATGATTCAAATGTGAGTTTTGAGCAGTGTAGAGTAGCGCTTGTTGTTTGTCGTTTCTCCGATCACAAATGCAGACATGGTTTTATGTTTACGCGGCTCGATACGCAACGTAACATGTAAAAAGACAGTATAAATCATTATAATCTGTAATTATGTCCCCACTGGATGCTACAAATGCCTCTTTTGTAATGGGTTTTATTGGTTTTGTCTCGTCACACCGGGACACTGCATCACAGTATGGTAAGGGGTGTAACATTTCTGTTACACGCTTGAGGTATTAGGCCAATCACAACGCACTGGATAACTGACCAATCAGAGCACACCTCGCTTTTCAGAACGATGAGCTTTGTAAAAATCGACACGTTTCAGAAAGGTGGGGCAATAATGTACAGTATGTGAAAAATTATGTTTTTTTAACCTTAAACCGCATAAACACTTCATTACATCAAATACACAAAATAATGTTCTTTTTTAGCAATGTCATATGACCACTTTAAGCAAACTGAGACTTGTTATAGCACTTGCATAGCATTGCTCTTTTGTTGATTTTGATTGCTTCCATTGTCCTCATCAACTGTCAACTTGAGATTTTAATCCATGGTAGAAGGAAGTAGTTTGCACAAAAGAGGTTTTTAAAGACACTCCTTTGTTGTTTCTTAAAGTCCCCCTGAAGTCAAATATTTTATCCCTTAAAACTTATCTTTGATAATCAAAATGACATATTTAAATGTTTTTTCTTGTGAAAATAATTTTATCATGCCTTAAAAAAGCTTGAATGTAACTCCACACCCTTGCCTCATTTACTATACCCGGAACTATGAATATGTAAATGAGTCCCGCCTCCACTCAGTCACACCAGCCAGCCTCCTGATCCACTGAACTGTAGTAACCGCAAAACAATGACTGATAAAACTATCTTTTTACTAGCGGACAACTACCGTGAATACTGTAACATTTGTTAAAGTTACTTACTTGACGATGTTGTCTCCTAACATGCCTTGAAGACCCGCATGCAGCCGTTTGTGATTGTTAATTCACGCCCGCGAGCATACATACCCGCGTGAAGTGCAAACGCAGCTGCGGGAGAGGTGCATCTGACTCCGGGCTACTTTTACACTGTTGCCACGGGTTATAATGCAAGTTAGCGGTTCTAAATTCACATTAAACCACAGCTTTTTTGCTCTGATTCATTTTTGGTTTTGTGCTGGTATTGGTATATTTTGCATGCTAGTGATAGGAATTGATCCCTTGACGTGATTGGTTATTGGTTTGTGACGTAGCAAACCGAGGTCTGTTTCAAACCATATTTCTGGGTCAGCCTTTGGGAAACTACAGTTTTAAGGAGAAAATACTCAGCAATGGTGTTGATTAATATATTGGCACATGGTTTGTCTAAAAGCATATTAAAAACACCACATAGACAAATAAACAACATAAAAAACTTGATTTTCACTACAGGGGGACTTTAAGTGACAATCCATCTTTCTAATTACACTTCATTCAATGCATCAACATTCCTTTCAGGACCCTCATTTGTCCATTACTCTGAGCCATCAGCACAGCTGGTCTTACAGGTGGCAGCAGTATGTTGTGACATTACATCAGACTGTCTCCAGAAATACATTGCCACATTGGCCTTATGCAAAGACTGTACATCATTATTACTAAAAAGATCAGAATAAATGGCCATGAAAACCCTGATCATTCAGTTAATCACATTGATCTTAAACCGCAAACTTACGCATTCACCTGCTCTAATAGTGCCCAACTTGATCCCAAGTTTCAAATGACTGTCACTTTCCTTTGAAATTGTGACCAAATATTTGCTGACATTGAGGGAGCGTGTGTCCTTTTCAGAGTGTTTGTTTGCTAGTTTCCACTAAACTGGCCTTCTTCAGAGAGCTGGTACACGTGTGCCTGGCCTGCTGCCCTTAGATAAAGAACACAGAGTGTTAGTGAGGGGGAAGGGAAATCAAAGCAAAAAGAGATAAGAAAAAGAAATTGCCTTGAAAATTAGAGGATGTGGGGGTCAAATGAGTTCAGTAGCAAGATATAGACTGTATAGAATTATGAAATGTTTACATAACAGCTAGTCTTTTTGCATAATGTGCATGTCACAAAACAAACACGCACAGGCTGCCTGTGCCGGTTGAATCCGGGAGCCCATTGAAGGATGTCTAACCAGTAATATTGCATTTAATGGTGAAATACAGTACGAGTTGTGAGAAAATTGGCTTTAAAGGGATAGTTCACCCAAAAATGAAAATTACCCCATAATTTACTCAACCTCAAGGCATTCTAGGTGTATATAACTTTCTTCTTTCAGATTAATACAATCGGAGTTATATTTAAAAATGGCCTGGCTCTTCCAAGCTTTATAATGGCAGTGAATGGGTGATAATCAATAGTCCAATAGAAGGCCAATAAACTGCATCCATCCATAATAAAAAAGAGAGTGGCATTCCAGCCAGATGACGTAGGATGTAGACGTAGTGTAATCTCCGGTGAGAATATGATAGTCTTGCGAGAACCAAGTTTTGTTTACAGCTAAGGAAAACCAGTTTCCTCTTGGCTTAAATCGAAATCTTCCAACATTTTTCTTTACAATTCCTCAGTTTGTACTAATTCGTGACCGGTGTTTTGTTTTGCTCTCTCCTCTCAGCTTCTGCGTTCGTCACTTCTCACCGGAGCTTACACTACAGATGAGTGTATTCATCTGAAAGAAGAAAGTCATATACACCTAGGATGTCTTGAGGGTGAGTAAATTATGGGTTAATTTTCATTTTTGGGTGAACTATCCATTTAAGAGTGAGCACAGAAAGCCATACCTCTGTGACAGGACCACCCAGAAGCAATGAAGTACAACATGTCCCACAATAGAGGTGAGAGAGCAATTTACAAAAGAATTCGGTCCAATTTGAATCCTCCAGCAGAGGGTCCAGATAACTGATACACAACCTCTTCACTGTAAAAGAGGAAACACATGACATTTAAACAAGAGGGTGGAAATATTTAGAGAACTGCTCTTCAAATGTCAACCTGGCTGGGCCGATCTGCATTTATTTCATCATTCACAATGCATGCCAGTTTGTTTACAGTTCATAAAGCTGCCTTGCTGTCCGAGTTTCATGGTTTCTGTTACAGAGGTGGTCACATGGTCATGGTGGCAGTCAGAGAAAGAGGATTATGAGAGAATCCACTGACGAAACGGTCTAGCCAGATT